GATGTACTAAAGAAACATTTTTTTGGTGAGTTTGTCTTAAACTGGGGATTTTTTTTCCACTCGTGAGAAAAATCAGCCCAGAAGCACTTATTTCTGACAGCAGGAGCGCTCTGGCTTTTCACGCATTGCCAGTACCGGAGGAGGTGAAGTAACAGCTTTACGTTTTCTTAAGTGGATTTTATAATTCCTTCCAAACAGAGTTTGACCACCCCAAAAATCACTTCACCTTCGTGATTAAGACACGCTGCAAGACTGTCTTTGTACTGCGATGTGGCCCCATTCTGTGCGGCTCCAAGATGTCCTCAAGTGCAAGCGGAACAGTTTCAGAAACAGCAGCAAGGCAGCTGGCTCCTTGATCTCCTGGCACTTACTCAAGTAAAGAATCCCTTAATAAAGCATCCCCATAATGCACAGTGAGTACTGGAGAACAGCCATGGCAGATAGTCTGGCACCTTAAATCTAAATGCACGACAAAGTTCTGCTTGGAAAGGCTTTCAGTGATGAGTGAACACAGACTATAGACAAGAACTGTGCTGAGAGGCGAGGGAAGTTAGAAGGACAGGTCGCAATTGAGACATTCTATTCCACTTGAAATTCAGGAAGTTTAGAAGTTTCTTCCATTTCCGTGTGTGAAAGTTTTCCCCCAACAGCTGTTTTAGATCTGGCTTATTCTGGATTCCTGATATAGGAAATTTCCCCTGGACTAGCCTGCTGCACCAAGCCAATGTTACTGGCTTGGACGCTTCCCATTATCTTCTGGAAGAGTAAGCAGCCCACTATCTCACACGAAATCGAGGGGCCATTCACTGCGTTCCAGATGACAGGCAAGGTCATTCACTATATACAACTTGTTACTTAAAGCCCTTCCAAATACAATACTGTTTATTTGCTTTCCCAGTTAGTCTAAGTACGGTACACTAATCTCCACTCATCCTGTATGCTTGTAAAATGGGGAAGACTTTCATTTGCTGAAGTCAAAAAATGAACAGACATTTGCAGCCCATTAGACAAGCTGATGAGAAGTAGAATTCAGAATAAAAGCCACTTGCTCCTGCCTGTTTTGAACAGCCACAACTACTATACAAGTAAGTGTCTGAACTAGAACAGTTGAGACGACTTTTAGTTGTAGAAGTGTCTAATTAAATTCTTTAAGAAAGGTCTTGTACAAACAAGTCTCCAGTCACGCTAAAGCTCTGCTCTTAAAAGTTATATCCGTAACATATTATGATGCCTTTCGGTGCCACTAACTTCAAAGTCCTGGCTGCATCCCAAACTCCCCGCTCTTGCTAACGGTGTCTGGCCTTCCTGGCACTTCACAGCTTACAATTTCAAGGACACAGTACCAAGTTCTACATTCTATACGCTTCTTGAGCTGCACAAAAATCTTCTCAGGTTTGTTTATTTGGTTTCAATACTTACCTGCACAGGTCCTACACCTAACAGTGTTCTTCCTCTTCTTTGTTTGTTCCATTGTTACAGCATAATTTAAATCTAATACCTTAAAAAGTAGCAAATGACTCACAAAGCACTTTCAGGTGTCCCAGTTTATTTTTGCTCTTGGTAATTATTTGTGAACACAAGCTAATCAATTACGAGGCGGCAAGGCGGGGGGGGGGAAGAATCTGTGTGCAAAATTCCATACATTCCTTGTAACCAATCCACAGTACACCCAAAATCTCTCCAGTACTAGAAAACTGCTTTGAGGATTTCAGATGTTAAACTAAATATGTTAAAAAAAAAAACTTCCACTAAGCTCTGACCCTGTAGAAGAACTCCTAGTCTTTTAGGCAGACAGAACACATCCTATATATAGGTTACGCTGACTTGTACTCTGGAGAGACTTAAGAGATTGGCTCTGATAGATATGGTGCTAATCATTTTTAATGTCTCAGAAGATACTGCAGCCTGGCTATTTTGGGACACCTTTTCACATTATGAGATTCAGTTTCCTTATCCATTTAATCAGAAAAACCCTTTGGAATTCACTTTGAAGTGCTCTGCCTCAGACACTAAATTCTGACCGTTACTTACCCACTGAAAAAACCCTAAAAGCATCACTGTTAACACCTAATTTGTAAAAACTTTCTGAAGCGTCTGCAAAAATGTTTGTGCGGAGTTTGAAAACCCAAGCAGACTCACGGCCACTTACGTACCGACAGAGCGCGAGAGTCACACGACGCTCGTTTCTCACATCACCTTAAGCCAGCGCTGAAGCACTGCTGCATTGACATTATGAACACAAAATGTCTCATTTAAATAAGTCATTCTAATGAAGGTGCACCACTGCGGTACTTAAGAAAAGGGAGGGTTTTTTCCGAAGCATCGTACCACAGTAGCTGTAGTTCAGCAAAACACACTGTTCTAGCGAGCTGCATTTTGTGCAACTGGGACAAGTTGGGAAGGCTGACACAGGCAGAGAAATCTCTCTTTCTTCATAAAACAAAGTAAGATGAAGTTAAGTAGCACCAATGGATTAGCTGGAAGCTACAGTTTGGATAAAGACTCCCAGAGGTCCTTTCCGTTATTACCACAATAACTTCCACATAAATTAGTTGTTTCATGCTTTGCACCTACCAAAGCCAGTCATCTTACACGAAAAAAAGCTCTAAGACTGTGCCAGTGATGACACGGAGGCTTTAAGAGATATCTCTTTAAAGAAATGATGCACATGACATTACCCTAACCGACAGACAAAAACAAACAGAAAACTCCAGAACTGCAGAACACACCTAGGTGCAACAGACCTGAGACCCTGAACTTGGAAGTTCTATATAGACACAGCATCAGAAGTGTTTCGATTCTCCAGACTCGGCCTGGTTACTCCATTTTTCCTCTCGGTGTTGCCACTTCTTGCCAGGCAAGACGACTTCTAGAGAGCTGTGCGCTTCTCCCTGCCCCGAGGGGTCACTGGACAAACTGGAGCAGCCGTCAGGCAACGGGGCCAACCGCAACATGCTACGAACCGCCCGACCTGCGCGCTCTGCCAGGACGCAGACGCCGTTTGTCTCTGAAAGGGTGCGGGTGGGCGAGCAGTCCTTGCCCCCTGCCCCCGTTACGGCAGCCTGTGCCCATCACGGTGCACTGGTTCCGCGCACGGAGGTGAAGCTTCAAGAGAGAGAAGAGGGGCGAAGCAGAAGTTTCCATGGCCAGTGACCACACGGTCCGGGACGGAAAGCTCAGCCTTGCTCTCTCCCTTCCTCCTCCCCTGACTTACCACTTGTCACCTACTCTGACAAGGGCAACGTTGCTATGTTTATTGTTCTTCACTTTCATGCAAATTCACATTCTGCTAGCTACTCAACACTTCATCTTTAGAAATATTGCTCTTAAGCTGGCCTTGTTTCCATCCATAAGGTAAAAAAAACCCGGTATCCTTAGTTGCATATAAAACATCCAGCAGAATGGAAACAGGATTGCAAGAGAGCAGATGTTTCTTTCCTAATCAATCAGTATGCAAAAAGGAAAAAATAATCTAAAGAATCAGTTTAATAATCTGAAGAATGCTAAGTGTAAGTTCCACATAAGTTGCTGCTGTGGATGTACGCAGGCCGTGAGTCAGTGTCGGCAAGAGACAGGTGTGTTTATCCACGCAGCACATATTTCTATTATTGCCGAATTACAGAAGCTGGCAGAAAATTTTGACTACTGTGAAATATTTAAACCACATCACACGAATTCGTGCAGCGTGTGAGAAAGGTAGTAGATGGAGATACAAGATGGCCAAGGTCCCAAAGGAAAAGGAGGTTCTTTAGCCACTGCTAGGCCACCGAGACTGCCTCTCAACAAAGATTAGAGAACAGTCCATCCTATTTTAAATCAAACAAGAAAAAAGCTACAGTGCCAAGCATTTCAGTTACCTGGGAGGATGTATGTAGTGCACTCTGACACAGAGCTGAAGTCACTACAGAGACCTGTGGTATCTTACTGGGATACAGGTAACCCGAAACTGGCCACTGTGACTGGTATGGGTTAGGAGGTCTCCAGATGCTCCATCAGTGTGACAGAACTGCTAGCACAGATCTAGAGCTACCTAGATCCCACCATGAGTCTGATTTCTCTTCCTAGACACATCCTCCTGGAAGAACAGCAGAAAGTCAACCTCTGCAATGTGCAGAAGGTCAACCTCTGCTATGTGCAGAACAGCAAAAAAAAAAGTTTAGCAAGTTCCTCAAGCTACTTCCAATTGCTGACTTGCGAAAGGCCTCCAATTATGTCCAGCGAACCAAGGACAGACTACACATAGCATAAGAGGCCACAGCACGGGGATACTCTAATCCTGCAGCAGATTGCTCCTGCCCTGTGAAGTTTAATTGATTTTCTCATTATAGACAACTGTGTCTGAACAAAACAAGCTCTGAGAGCAGAGCAGTGCTTTTCTCAGATTTAGTCATCCTGGATCAATGAGAGAACAGGAGATGTAATGCTAGAACTTGAATCTGCTGAGAGATACTGCATGAGAAACCCCACATACAAAGCTTACCCTGCAGGACCTCTTTCTCTGCCTGCCACACAGAAAACCAAAGATTAACCTCTCAAAGCCTGGTAAGCTACTTCTCCCCATAAACTTCAGCTTATTGCATGCTGAGTTTTAAACAAGCTAGTAGAAGCCATAAAGGTAACTCACACCGGTTTGTTCTCTACCTGGGGGCGGGGAAGAGTACTACAGCTTGTAGCAACATAAACTAACAAAATACCTTCCTGTTTGTTTTATTTATAGTAATTCCACTGCATTGGTGAGTTCTTGATTCGTGTTATACGATGCCAGTTTGGAAGTATTCAGCTGCTAACCAGCGGTGGAGGCCTGAATAAAGTTGCAGTACAGCACTACAATTCCAGAGTTGATGACTTGCAGTGTGATACTTCCCAATTCACCAGAACACAGCCCATCCCACCCCAGACACAGCAGAGAGAAGCAAAGAACAGTCGGTTTTCAGACGGCAACCAGATCAGAGTAGCAAGAAGGAATTCTATACTTCATGTGATGTCAATAAAATACTTACAGGGTTGTGAACTTCATCTGTTGAATGATGAACAGCCCACCAGTCAGACGTCCATTCCCAGGCATTTCCTACGATGTTGTACAAGCCGTATCCATTGGGAGGAAAGGCGGTGACCTATGCAAGATACAGAACCCAAGTGCCAGTTCTGTAAACCTCCACATGAAGTAAGGTGTTTCATCCTTAAGACCAGTCTGCTGAAGGTGCATTTGTCTTTATTAGGAGCTTCTGCCTTCCCACCTCCAAAGCAGACACCAAATCAGCAGTGCAGATCTCTAACACTTTTACGTATTCCTTTTAAATGAAATGGAACAAAAGAATTAACTATTATCATCCTCAGTGTTCTCAGCTCCACATCTGCAATATGGCCCATAGCACCTTCTCACTGGTTTTGGAGACTGATCCCCTAAAGAGAGGCACTGCTTGACCAACGCACACAGACCCGTACATAGCATCAGTCATCTGACCTCCATGCCCATGCTTACAACTTCCAGATTCCCCTTCCCAACAAAAGAATGCAAGAGTGACTGTCATGGCATGCATATGCAGATTTCTCTGCCAATGAAACTTTTTGGACTTACCTTAACTACCATTTAATAATTCATTCACATCCTGAATTGCCTTTAAAATACTACCCCATTGTTTGCCATAGACGGAGTCAACCTTTCCAAAACGGGATGTTTCATTTCTTTTAAACTATTGCACTATTTTTGTGCCTCAGGAACAACTACTCAAAAAATGAAAGTGCAAAAAATTGTAATGCCAAAAGTGCAAGCAGGAAGTACTTCAGCATCTGACTCAAAACTGACTGGAAAGGGAGAAAAGAGGTCAGCTTGAGAGGAACCAAAAGTTAAAATTAAAGTAATCTTTACTTTTCAATTAGCTTTTAAAAAGTGTCCCTTGGTGGTACTCAAGCCTGCAGTGAAATATACTGCAACTTTAAAAATCTAAAGGTGAAAGAGTAGAGGAATGGAAAACAGCCATGGCTCATTGTGTTGAACACAGACCTCAATTTCAGCACGACTAAGTTCACTTCCGTACAATTAATTCACTGTCAGACCCACTTACAGGCGCAGTTCCTTTGTACCCATCTTCTGCAGTGTTGTTAGTTGGGAACACTCCCTGCCAGATATTGGCATAATGCTGACCCTTTGGCTGAAGCTTGTTGCCCCATGGGAAAAGTCTGTTGAAAGACATACAGAAGAACAGTTGTCAAAATCTTATCTTTTTAAATAAATGAAGTGAGAAAAAAAAAAAAAGGACAAACACCACACAGGGCCCTTCTTCCTCATCTTACCCTGGAGAAGTGTTTGTTATAGTTTTTCCATTCGTACCAACACCTCGCAAGCTGTCAAGGCGAGCGGGGGTTCTGCGAGGACAATGTACGCGCGGAGGAGGGAAAGGCAGCACTGCCCTGTGCACTGTGTAGCCCAGGACCCAGGATGGAGAAGACCTAGGCCCGTTAGTCACCCCGCTTCCCGAGCCCACAGCCAGGTAACAGGTGGGTCCCGTGGCCCTAGAGCTGCTGTGATGTAGTTATTCACTTCTTCACCTCTTCTGCAACCCTTTCGGCCTTGGCGCTACGGTCCTTCGCTACACCTTTCATCTCCTGCAACAGCAGCAGTCCCGTGTCTTGGCATCTCGTCGCGCCTCCTGCTCTCTCGGGCTCTCTGCATTCTCCTCCCATTACAGAGTTCAGATTACGACATACCATTTAGGTATGCAAGGAAATCCACTTACCTAAAGGAGTCTCTTCAGAGTACAGCACCGTTATACCTACCACAGATGTGCGTACGACGCAAGAAAGAGACACTGAGTGTAATAAAACCCACACAACGCTTCCTTATCTAGTAAATACCGGTTGTTAACATTGATCAAGGACAGATTTGTGACAAGTACCTATTTTCCAGGCCCCCCCGACAGCTGTATTCCCATTCAGCCTCAGTTGGTAATCGTTTCCCTGCCCAAGTGCAGAACGCCACAGCATCATTCCAGGAAACATGAAGAACTGGATGATCCATTCTGGGGAACAAAATAAACAGGACGAGATCATCAGCAGAACTAGGCAATCTCACAGCTATAGAGCACAAGCACTTAATGAAACTCTTTTAGAGATGGCCACAAAAGACGGTGAGGAAGTTCCCAATTCGGATACAACCGGACAAGGTATCAGGTCACTTTTATAGAAAATCAGCTCTTCAAAGAAAGACAGCAAGACACTGGAAAGGAAATGCAGCCATCAGCGAAAAACAAGGAAGAGAAAAAAAATAACTTCTGTTTTTTTGATCACGTTTTTACATACAGCTCTCTACGGTTAACGGAGTCATTTGTGGCTCGTGCTTTCCCATTGTCTCACCTCAGAAACCTGCTGCACGCAGGAGCCAGTGAAGATCTATCAATAACCTGGCTTCTGCACGAACACAGGTGCTCAGAGACCCCAAGGCAGACACGGAAGGCCTGCAGCTTTACCACTCCCTGCTAGGCTAGTTTAACGGTATCTTAACAAGAAACCAAGATCCTCAGTAGGAGAGTTGACATTGCAGTTGAACAGCAAATGCTCTTCACTCCCCTGTGCTCTCTTCCCTTTGCTGCAGGTTTTTCTTTGCTGTCAGTTGTGGGGTTTTTGAGGGAGAGGTGGGATGAGAGTCCTTACTCTTAGCAACATCACCTTTTGCAGCACCCAGTCCAGGAAACAGTGAACTGCAGAAATTTAACAATAAAGGATTTCTCTTTGGGTGTTTCAAACAGTCCACAGTTTACACAAAAGCTCCCGTATTTCCTTTGCTTTGGTTCCAGCATTGCCCTTATAATCCTGGTCTCTTCTTCCAGAAAACGAGGAGAAATGCCTAGTCATTCTTGTCACAAGGATCCTCCCCAGCCAAGCCTCTAATAGACCAAAACTCTTCAAGAGCTGAGGGTACTGGTCCAGAAGACTTCCTGTTAACTTATCTTTCCTGCCTCAATTAGCCAGCCAGCGTATGCCTGGTGGCCCACACGGCTACTTCTGTGGGGCGAGTTCACCAGCAGTTGTACTAGGCCAGGTTTGCACCACACTTCTACAAGACCAGATTTACATGGCAGGTTTCCAGCTCTCATCCGCTGACTGTGACCTAAATTCCTCTGTCTCCCCCCAACAATGCCTCCTGATACTATCTCTATTTTTGCCTCAGATAATTCTTTCACTGCCCTTGGAGAACAGACAACGGACTTGTTACTAAGCAGTTCAGCCATCAGATGATGTTACACTAACACAGCCCTGTCCTTAGAGGACTCAAAAACATGCCAGCATCTACTAGATCTAGGCTAGAGAGCCTGACTTCATTTCAAACAGCAGTTTTGAAACTTTAAGTAGTCAACTAAGGCAGCTAGTGCCAACGTCATTGATGCCTGCCTAGTGAGAGAAAGAGCTGCAATGGAAGAGGTCCCAAATGAAGACAGTCACATCCAAGTAAGCATACAGTAACATACATGACTGAACAATGGCTTTCAGCATGTGCAACCCAGGGCTAGTTCTGCAGCGTCCATAAAAAGCACCTGAGAATAATGAAGCCTTCTCATTTTCTAGGCATAAAATTCATTCCACTTCAGAATGGAAGGAGACTGGATAAAGACATGGAGCAGCAAGTTTCAGGGTTCATGCTAGCAAAGCTTGGCACTAACTGTAGGCTGTTAAGAAAAAGTACAGTCTTCCAAAGCATTTAGGGTTTCTAGATAATCGCAACTGATTTTCCACAATAATCAGATCACAAAGTCAGAATACAATAAAAAAAGCACAAAACTCTTCAGTCATCTGCTGCCAGAGAGATAACCCTTCAAATCCCAGACGGAGGACACGCTACACAGACTCCCAAGTACGCATGCAGCTAGTATGTAGTTTTTCTCTCCAAAACCAGATCTCCACTGAATGCTCTGAAGTTACTGACCCTCTAAAGATCTACTGTTTCACTGCCGATACACAGATGTGCTTCAGCGTGTTTTCTATTGACATTTCAGTGTGGTCTCTCTTCCCTCGGGTGGAAAGTGATTATAGACCTTTTTGAAATAACGTCATTGACCATATGACCACTGCATATTGCATGCAACACACTAGAGACAGGAAAATAGTCGTAGAAGCAGCAGCAAGCAGGTTACTAACTAAAAACCCTTTCTTGCACCCCTGTTCCTGGTGTATTATGATTGAATGGTCATATATGGCTTACCTGTTGGAGATACTGGAGTCAGGACCCTCAGGGTGCTTCCAGTTGGCTTCCTTCACGGGCAGCCACCAGGGAGCAGCTGCAACCTGAAAAGGGGCAAGAATAGCCAGTGAAGAAGGCTTAAATTCCCAGGTAAAGGCTATTCTGAAAGATGACCGTGTGACAGCAAGCTACCAAGCTTGCACTCACTACTCATGGCTCTGCCTGCAGCGGATTGACCTATTACTCTGACCAAGAAGGTCAGACAAGCAAGAAGGAGACCAAATCCTGAGCATACTGTGCTGAAGCGCTGCCCTCTGGCCACCTCGCCTTCCCTTCTACATTTTCTCATCTGCGGGTCTGGTACAAGGTAGTTTATTTTCTTCAAAGGCACAGCCTTCAGCACACTACCTGTGGTGGACCAGACTGTCCTCTCAGAAATTCTCAGTTCTTCACCTCTTTTATGCCAAGAACACTCCGACGGTAGCGGCTGAAGGAGTTCATCTGGAACAGTACAGTTTTACTCTATTCTTTTACAACAGTATGCCCACAGTACAGTTAAAACCATTAACCTCCTGGCTGACTCCAGTGTGACACATTCTGCAGAGACGATAAAAAAAAAGACAGTTTTGGCTTAAAAAGAATTTTCATCCCAATTATTTGCTCCCTAGACTTAGTGTCTTGGAATAACGAAAACAAAATCCCGATAACATCCTTTAACTAGGGTCAAAACAAGCATCTTGCAACACATTTGCTTTCCAGTTAATTAACTCAGTGAGCTGATCTTAAATTATTTGCTATCAGCTTCCAGAAGGTGGAGACAGAAGAGCCACAGAGTCAAGTGAAGCCTTTTTTTTCCCTCCCACTTGGTTTGCTGAGCAAGCCAAGCTTGCAGACAAAATACTGTGCAACAATGCATCAAGTACTTCTCTCCAACCAAAAGTCTCAAACTTAGTTCTACAATGCCAAGGAACTATTCCTGGGATATATTCATTAAGGATTTCTCTATTAAGCTTACTTCAAAGCTGAGAAGGTCAGTGCACAGCACATTTAACTATTCTATTCTGATTCACATTCACTTAGAAATACTTATCTTAATAATGGGTCCTTTCAGAAAATCAAGGCAAAAAAAGAACACTTATGCTAACCATCAGTAGTGGGAGGTTCTTCCAGCATCTTGAGTGCTTGTTTCTTAAATACTCCTATTACAGAGATAATTTCCATAATGCACAAAAAATCAAAGTAAACAGGCCTCCAATGTTTTAAGAGTTAAACAACCTCCCAGCTGGCTAGCCCTAGACTTAGATCCAGATGCTGCTCTAATGCTGCCCTGTAGAACAACCTTGCGACTTCTGCCACCTCTGCTGCCCCTCAGCTTTCCCCACTCAAGAAGCAGAATATTTACATGTCTTCACCATTCTGTTAAACCAACTTCGTAGAAATTGTGCCCAGACACATTATCCTTTAACTCACCAAATCCTTCACAGGAAAAGTCCAAAAGTAAAGGTCACTGAAAGCTGGTACTCAGGAGACAGAGCATCAACCTGGTCCAACTATTTTAAGAACAACTTCTAGGAGGAAGCTGCATCCTTCAACAGTGATGAACATCTAACACGTAATTACATGTATGTGAAAGAAAAAAAAAAAACTACGACAAACGTAAGTTAGATAAAGAAACACCAAAACTCTGATCCAAACTACACGTCAGATCCCTCATTTGAGGGTTTCAGTAGGAAAGTAAGTAGTAGTGCCTAAGAAATAGAAGTGCTGCTAATACACAAAGACATATGATCTTGTTTTTAAAGCATCTGATCAATCCATGCTATAAAAGCTCCCATGAGAGCTTTTCACTCTACTCCCATCATCCCATACAGATTTTGCCTAAAGCATACGTCTGGGTACCTTACCTAAAAGCTCACTGTAAATCAGTAACAACCCTGGACTAAAGCTACAGCGTTGTTGGCCTAAGCTCAGCTGAAGAGCCCACAGCTCTTTGCGAGCTCTACGCAAGAGCGCTGGAACCCCTAAATGTGCCGCAGGACTCCTCCAGGCGGAGAAGGCATCCACATGCAGCCGTTTTTGACACTCTCTCTTCCAAAGCCAGTGAAGAGAAGACATCGGTATTAACTACAAAAGAAATAAAGCTGTTCTCAGCAGCTTGCTGATGACTGAGACGTTCTGTCCACATGCTCTCCATCTAAATGGGACCCTTCAGGCATACTACTAAATAATGACATCTCTTAAAGATCCTGCTTTCCGATCTCCCTAGCATGACAAGCACATAAATCTACACCAGAAACCACATAAGTCTGGCTCAGTGTCTAACAAAGCCAAGAACATTCTCCCCACAAGCAGAGCCCTCACCCTTTTCAAAAAAAGGATGAGAGGTATTTAACCTCTTACTAGAAACTACAGCTGTTACTGAGCTTTCAAACCCAAAGATGGTATCTTCATTCAGAGAGATACTCAGCTCAACTCTCCTAGCACTAAAGCCTTGGAATGACCACACTCCTAAACAGATATTACCGTAAATAGGCTTAAAACTAGTCTGATTTAACCAGTTCCTTGCATATTTTGAGCTTTAACCTTTAATCTATACTCAAGATAGGACAGACATCCAAAGTTAGAATTTTCCAGCTCTTTAAAGAAGATAAGAGAGCCTCAGTACCATTTGCTAAAGGTTCTCCATGAATCTGAGAGACGAAAAGTAAGATTTCATCCCGATATGTTTCTAAGCACAACACATTTTTATAAATTAAAAATCTCTGCAGGAGACCGCAAAGACTTACACGCTAGACGACTTGAATTTTGGAAAACATTTTTGTTATGCAAAAGAAAAAGCAGATGCTTTCAATCAGAATGGTTTATTTTAAACAGAGAAAAATAAAGTCTCTCCGCATGAGAGCACTATGTGTGCACATCTTCTGTTTCTGCCTCTGCTGACCCGACCACCAAATGGCTGCCAGTCTTTGCGGAACACCCAGATCTTTAGAGGAGTTACACATACAGTACTAGGACAGTGATAACGGTGATAGACGACGTAGAGCCTTCAATAATTAATTGGAAACTAATCTAAGTCAGCCACTGGCACCAGTGAGCATGCACCAAGATGCTCCTTCCGAAAGAGGAACTCATGTACCTGAAATACAAAGTCCTTTCAAAAAACTTCTCAGAAGTCTTTAAAGCTTTTAATTGCTCTAAATCAAATTAGCAGAAGAGCTAATTAGACAGAGCTATTACAACACCACAGTTAATACAGCAAAGCCCTCCCTTGCCACTAATGAGCTTAGTTACTTTCATAATGCTTAGCATTCTCATGCTTCACTCCGAAACATGTGTTCCGCAGGCTGGCAGCAGCTTCATTCCGTAAAAATAGCAGCATATGCTGCTGAGTGGATCCCTAAGAGGTACCGAACTAGAGGACACCACCTCCTTCCTTCTGGTTAACTCTTCACAGCACAGCCTATCACCCGTAACAGACCTGCTTAAAGATAACTGCCCCGCAGACACGACACCACTGCCTCCATCTACAAGGAAATGCAGCTCTAGGAGCAAAGCACATTTCGGAGGTGGAGAAGCTGAGTGCTCGTTTTGGTCCGATCCAGCTGAAAACTTGGATTATCCAGCACTCTGTCGCAGGATTAAACTTTAAGAACTCACTGTTCCACTTGTCAGGGAGTCGTAGCGCTGTTAAGAGAAGAGAACGTGATATGATAACACCGGGAAGATGCACTAACAGTTAATTCTGACCTGCAAGTTTTCCACTCAAAAGAAGCAATTTGCAGAACTGAAGCCTGTGCTCCCACTATCAGCCTGCATAAAATTCAAAGTTTCAAGTATTCAATTTTCTTTTCAAGGTAGGCTAGGATATCCTAACTTTAATTGCTCCATTAACTCGTGATTTCAAGACTGTTAGACTACTTCACATTTATCTTGAAGAAAATTTCCTCCTAGATATACATAAAAAAACCGATGGGGGAACATCAGGAAAGTCAGTTGCAGCAGCATTACACCATTACCGGTACTGCAAAAGCCGTAGTCGAATACCCTTAAAAACACACCCAAAAAGACCCAAAAAAGCCAGCCAATAACCATGAAACCATGTGTATTAGCCTTGTACCTAACATGGCACTGGCTGTGTTCGGAAATAACAACCCCCACTTTAGCCCCAAATTTCACATTCAAATCACATTTATGTATTAGAAAAATTACCAAAAATAAGCTCTACTGAGTAGCTAATCTTGACTCTAATTCCATTTCTAACATGCACCAAGTCACTTGAAATGACAAAGGTGTAAACTTTATCCTTAAATCAGGCCCATAAGATAATGAGAAATTCCTACTGTTGTCCAGACGTGTAGCACCAAACATCTTTTTGATGTGCTACAGCACTATAAAGCTATTTTAATATAATAAGGCCTGCATACACTAGGTAAAGATAAACATTTGAAAGAAACAGAAGTTACTGCAGAGTAAGAGCTTTAGCAATTTAGGAATCAACTGTCTGAAAAGAGATTTTCTGAGTGAAAAGTAGTCTAAGTGTGGAAACCACTTCAAAAATAGTTTATTAAGCAGTGGGTTCTTCAAGACAGATACGTGCACTGCCGTTTCAGAAGCCGAGTTAATAAGTTACCGCGTGTTTGAACGCGGTGTTGAGCACTGTACATCTTGAGTTTGCAAAAGCATCCTCTTGGCTGCAAAAGCAATGTGTGCACAGGCTGGAAGCACTGAAGTTATGAAGCATTATCTCTGGGAAATACACCCAGTGGTCTGGACACCCTCATTGCCAGCATTGACAGGACGTGAGAAAAAAATCAGTTATTAGGTGAAGAATGTAATTTTTGGATGGGGTTTTATTTCATCCATGTAAGGCAGATGCACATAAATCTCCATCAATTTTTCCTCCTCTCAGCCATATCCTAAACCCTGAGCAGGTGATGAATGAACTACCGCAGAAAGAGGCAGGCAGGAAATAGAACATTTTTAGCCCCGCTTTAAAGTTGTAGTTTGTACTTATATGGACTGATATTACTGGTAACTCCCAGTGAGAGATGCTTCCTGCACATCGCTCTTTACCCCAACAGTGGGAGTAAGCATAAGAAGATAA